GCAGTAGTTTAATGATAGTCAGAGTATTTAATGAGGTTTTGTTGTATGTGAATGTAAGACAAGGAGCATTTTTCCCCTTGCTGATTGGGGAAAAATTTAATCGTGTATTTGAGTAAATACGGTAATTTCCCTAACACATGAGTCTTGTGTTAGGCTCCTCTTGTAGGCTATCCTCAGAGGTCTGCTATCTATGCTTATTCCCCTGAGGATATTTTAGAAAAATTGAATGCTCTCAGAACTAGTCTTGGGTTTTGTGCCACTTTTGGTATAAGTTCTATCTCATAGGCTTAGCTACCTATCTTGCCTCTCCATCTGTCAGCCACTTTTTTCAGTTCTGTAGACTGGGAGGGGAAGGATGGAAAGAGCACAGGAGAATTTAGTGTCACTCTCAATTCAGATTAAGTGTGCTTTAGGTACAAAGGCTGACTAACATTGCAGACAAGAGTGGGTAAAGCCAAAACCTGCAGATCAGGAGAGCAATTAATCAGTTACTTGGCAAGAGGGAAACTATATACATTTTTATAGTAAAAAAGATTACTCTTTCTCCCACCACTGAGGCAGGAGTTTCAGGGACAAAATCTGACAGGTGTGGGACACCCCCAGATTCAGTCTGACTAACTTCCTTTCTGATATGAATTGAACTAATTAAATCAGCTGATCAAAAACATGCCACTAACTTGACACAGCATTATAGTCTGCTGCTGACAACGGCTGTCTCCATGGTCTTTGTCTGGTTGGCATGCTTCTCAAATAACTTATAGACCCCAACTTTCATTGCATTCATTCCCGCAGTTCATCTGCACCACACAGGCTAGAGGACAAGGAACTGGAGACTGAGCTTTGGCTGATGTGCATGTGTTGTGCAAGACCTTGCACAAGTTGTGGTGCATGGGCACTTGGGCAGCTGGTTGGATGACAAGTTAGAGAGAGAGAGAGAGAGAGAGAGAATGCCTCTCTAATCAGATCATATTCAATTGAAGTAATTTGTTATTATCTTGATTTTAAAACCTATAGTCATTTGAAAATTCAAGGTATACTATAGGTGCTTAATGAAATCTTGATGGGTCCTGGCAAGCAACCGTTCTTTTCTAATCTTTCCACTCTCTTTACCAGGTTGTTCTGGCAAAACAATTGTTTTGTGTGTTATATGGAGATCAGTTTTGACAGTGCTATGTTAGTGCAGGTCTCAGGACAGATAGCAGCAAAGACGAAAAAAAAATTTTCATAGGAAAAGTTACCTCATAGCAGAGACCTACATAGTAAGGACTATAGTGAGATTTATGTACTGAGAAATCAAGTAATCACTGATGTTTCATGCAAGTGTCTCCAAAGCTTGGATTTAACTGGATCATATCAACTGAGGGAGAAGAAACAGATGTATCTCCAGAACTGGGCGGGGGTGGGGAATAGGGCAGGAGTACAGTACAGGAAGAAATTATGTGTGATGCATATAGCATCTGATTTCAATATGATGACTTTTTCCCCCCTTTGAAAATGTATCTGGAGCATGCTGTTTGTTTTAATGTCTGTTTATTACTTGATTATTAAATTAAACATGACCTCTCTGTTCCTATTGACTCAGAAAAGATTCTGCTTTTCTATCATTATAAATGGCACAGTCCAGTAGATTTACAACCCGTTTATTCAGATAATTCTTATTATTGTCAAAAGCTATTCCAATAGGTCCAGTGCCTCGCAATAGCCTGGTGCCTATGTTGTAAGTTAGCTGAAGAGTTTTGAGATTGTTATTGCTTTCCCTCACTCAGAGATACAATCTCCTTACTCTCACCTCTCTCTATTTCTCCCTTGGTATTTTGGTTGCCAATTTTTAATTCCTTGGAAAGCATTGCAGTCTTTGAAGTCAGAAGAAGAATATATCCTTCCACATGATCAATAGGCATTTGGCCATCAACTCTCCACAACACTATTTTTTAAAATAATTACAAAAGTTTCCAAAGAGAGAGAAATGAATTTCCAAATGGCAAGCCATTCATCAGAGGAGACTAGGATGAGGAGATTAACTGAAATATAATCCAGATCAGAACTGCACAGTAAAATGCTTAGTCTCACACTTGTACATCCTAACACATAGAAATTTTTGTTGTAACACTATGTGGGCCAAGCAAAGGCACCCCATTTGTCTAATCCAATTGTCATTTTCATCCTAATCCTGCCTCCCCACTCAGGTTATTGATAGTAGAACAGGCTGCTTCAATGCTTCAGTTTCCAGCTGTAATCCTGCAATGCCAGGTTCATGGGACTTAGTGCAGGCTGAAGCAGTGAAGTTTGTGCACACAGTCATCTAGTAACCCCTGCTTTTGACCCAGAACTACTTTGTGAGAGTGAGGGCTCAAGATGTGCATGCATAACGTAAATAAGCAGGTCTTCTGCAAAGGAGGTTCATAAGTATTGGGGAAAATTTTGTCCCATCTCAAGGGACCAAGATTTTAATAATCAAAAAGAAATTAAAATTAAAAGATAAATCCAGACTAGAAAAAAGGAATGGGGAAAGCAAAGAGAGTATCCCATAAAAAAAATTGCTGCCTTGGATGGGGACTAGAGAAAAGCAACTGAATAGAGAACTGGACCTGGAGCTCTGGCTGATGAACAAGTCATAAGAGAAAATCTGGAAATGTTGTCACAGGGACTGAGTCTGGAGCTGGCCAAATGGGGAATGTATTCTTTATTTTTATTTCAGATTACCATACGTGTTAGTTACCTAGTAAAAGCATATGGTGGTATAACAAAATGGAGGGGGGCAACCAAGCCACCCACTCCAGGTGCCAACTTAGGAGGGAGCACAAAAATAACAGCTGCTGTGCTTCTAGGTCACTGTATTGCTGGCTTCACCTTTACCCTGTGTGCCACAGCTGCCCTGGGTATAGGACTGTGCAGTTACTCCTCTGCAAATATGCTTAGTACTATGGCCCTAACAAATGCTAAACATTAGCATAAAATAGTCTTTCTAAGCTAGGTACAAAATTACTGAGTTCAGTGTAGGGGAAAGTGCAGATGCAACAAAACAACAGAGGGAGAAGTAGCAGCTTATTTGAATGTATGCAGGGCTGTATGTAGTCATTCCTACTTAATATATTCCTCTTGCTTTTTAAAAGTGGATCTATTAGAATGAATATGGGAACAATCTTTTAGTTCTAGTTCCTCAGAGTTATTCTGTACCATTCCTTTGAGTTAGTGCAGTCTGAAGGTGCACACAGTAAAATGCAACAACTAAACTTTTTTAATATGAGAATGATTTGGTGAAAATAAGATAGACTAGATGGGGAGCAGATTACTATATATATAATGGCCATGTCCATAGGCAACTGATAGGGGGTGCACATGCCCCCCGATGGGACCAGTGCCCCCCTGATGGCCGACACTGATGCTGCGGGTAGGGCTGGTGCCCCCTTGACAGGGCCACCGCCATCAGCAGTTTCTGTGGGTGCCACCAGATTCAGGAGGCAGCAGTCACTCAGGACCACATCTGCATGTCGCCCTACATAGCTGTAGCAATGTGCTGTATTGTTGTATGATGCACTATGGCAACATAGCAATCACGTGAGTCTACATGTGAATGGCAGCTGCTTCACCATAGTAGCATGCTCCCCCATTTTACTGCAGTGGTGCACTGAAGTAACGGCAAAAATTAATGTGCTCTGCACTCAGTGTTGTACAGACAGTTACTGTGCTGTGCTTTAGTTCTTCTAAAAGGAAGTACTAAAGCACAGTGCAGTAACAACATTGCCATAGGGTGACGTGTAGATGCACTCAATGAGTAAGATATCTGGAAACGATTTTCAAAATTAAACTCTTTTTTAAAGAGTAGGCTGTAAAAATAAGTGATGAAGTAAAATGAGAACTATCCTGACACTGCCTAAAATTTGTAAGAAGTCTGCATAATTTGGACAGAAATCTATCTATCTGGAAATTTAAGTTAGTCTTCACTTATTTCTGTACCAATCCTGCAGCCAAATCTCTACATAATCTCATGAAGTCAGCGTGCTCTGCAGGAGTAGAAAAGTCTTCTCTGGCACATAGGCCTCAATGAAAGGCAAACACCCTAAGGTTTAATCATTTGAATGATCATTTATCTTCCTTGTGTGTGGAGATCATATTAGAAATCTCATGAAATGTAGGAGTTTTCTGGTTCTGTTTCAGATTAGGGCAGGAAAACTACAAAAGCAGCATTTTCCCCCCTAGTTTGGTACATCAAATTCTGGTCTGAGCTGAGCACAGAATATACAAGTGCTCAAAGATGTTTTGTTCCAAAGTTAAATGAACAATTCAAACTTTTAAAAAATGCTTTGGGAGAAGATTTCAACTGGTTCACTTTAATCAAGGATGCTTTACCAAATCTGGCTTTAGATCCTGATTATACCTTCATTGGGCAAGTCTACATGCACATTAAGGTGCTTTTTCTCATGTGCATTAAATTTAGTACCTCCAGTGTGAGGTACTAAAGAAATGTGCATGAGGCTGCCTTAATGAACTGTAATGAATGTACACAGTTTTTAAGGGATGCTTAATGTGCAGTAACCTATTTTATTGTGCATTAGTGTAATTGCATGTTTTTTTACATGATACTTTAACACACAGTAAAATAGGCAACCGAGCATTAAAGTGCACATGTAGATGTGCCTATTCTGTGCATTGAACTCCCATTGAAACTATCAGGAATTTGGTGATTAGTTAGATATTTGGGTTGGATATTTGGATTTCAATTGGTAATGTTAGCACCAATCGACAACATAAGGACTTGTGCACCAAGGAAATAAAAACTGGAAGGGCAAAAACTTTCACGTCACTGCACGCATTCATTGCTGCCCAACCCAACAGAGCAAATAAAGTCAGTTCCAACCAAAAGCTCACTCAATCTTTGTTTTTACTTGTGTGTGAGAAATTTTCATCCAAAGGCCAGTCAATAAGGCAAATGCTGCCATCTAGAGAAAGACAGTGTGGTGCTGCAGAATTTATTTAGTGATATGATTTTTGTTTTCCAGGCAGTCTCAGGAGAAAGCTGCTCGGGAATCCTTAGAATGAATCGCAGCCTCAGGGATGCAACCCTTTGGAATGCCTCTCTGTTATCTGTTTACTCTGAACAGCCAGGTAATTACAACCGTATTTCAGCACAATGGGGAGACAACCTGATAAAAGGATTTTGTGTATACATGTGAGAGAGACTGACTTTCTCTAAGCATGTCAAATCATTTAATGATTGCAGGGTTGTTGGGGGGTCTCTTTCTTTTTTCTTTTTTTCCAAGAAAAGCTTTTACTCTAATTTGTTTAAAGGACGAAATGCAAAAGCAGTTTGTGTTATTTGCTGTCTATTGTTCATCTGCCTTTTTTTTTTTTTTTCATGGTACAAAGCCTCTCTGTTTACTCTCCAACTAGTTTTGAAAGAATTAGGATTGCAAAATTCAAACAGAAAGACAAGCCCAAAGAAAGCACTGAAAATACCTGAAAGACAAGAAAGAAAAGCGGGGATTTACCTTGTCTCAATATATTATGTGTGCAGATACATAAACATCCCAGCGTGTTCAAAGACAGCCACACATATTAAGCCTGAAAGGCAAAAGCAGTTCTCTTAGATACCTTCAAAACTGTGTTTGCAGTAGCAGCTTTTTGACCACAAGTAGGATGACTCATTACTGAATTTCATAGAGTTCATCACTTAAGCCCAGATCCTGCAAGCAGTTCTGTGCATGCTTAACTCTCTTCATGTGAGGTTGTCCCACTTACTTCCCTGAAGCTAGTCAGCTAATAACTTTGAGTTACCTCTATAAATAAAAGTTTGGAGTTTGTTTTGAATCTGATTGAGTAAATGAATAAAGGCAATTAAGATAAATATAAGAAGAAAAAGGGACAAGTTTACACCAATGTGCTTTCTCCTCTATTTTAGTTCCATATTTTAAAACAGGTTACCAGAGAGGCTGTGGACTCTCCATCCTTGGAGGTTTTTAAGACCCAGGCAGAAAAAGCCTTGGCTGGGATGATCTAGTTGGGCATGGTCCTGCTTTGAGCAGGCGGTTGGACTACATGACCTCCTGAGGTCCCTTCCAACCCTAATTTTCTATGATTTCTTTATATTTCAGCATCACTTACAATATATCGCAATACACCAGAAATTGCTCTTTAGTATAAAAATAGCCAAGTTTTTCTGACAGGACAAATTTTGAGCTAGATATTTCCTGGCCTGTATTAAGGTGAAGCAGCGTGTGGGGAAAGAATATGGTTGATTTCTACCTTATCCCCTTGAACTATTCACATAAAGACAGGAAAGAACTGCAGTCCCTAGGGCTTTAAACAGATGATGCCCAGTCAAGTGGATCAGCTGTGCCTGGATGTGTCCCAGCACAGCCAATCCACTTCATAGGGTTGAAATAGATGTGGCCTGTTGTTCCACAGGATCCAGTCCTGGTTGCTCCCAGGTGGGGCCTGGGCCCAGTCCTGTCGGAAAACACTCAGTCCCACCCTCTTCCCCCGTATATGGGGGGATCCCAGATTTCCCCGCTAGCAGAGGAGTGGCTATGGCATCCCCAGGTACTCTTCAGCTAGCAGGGAAACTATGGATTTCCTCATTTATGGAGATGTGCACCTGGTGTCCCAAACTCACTCCACCAGCTCCAGGACTGCACTGAAGTGTCAACACGTGCCCAGGGAACCCCAAACTAGGGAACCCAGGTAGGCACTCACCCATTCCTTCGGGGCTCAGTATGAAGCCCCTGGACATGTGGATTTGCAGGCCATGCAGGATCGGGCCCCTGAAGCCCTGGGAGTGCCTGCCCAGGGCAGTGGGAAAGCACAGGCAGCTCCACACTGCCCACATTCTCCCATCTTAAAGTTATCAGACATCAGCCATAAAATAGAAATATGAATTCATACCATGTATGTTGTAGCCCCACATTCTGGGCATTTGTGGCATAACAAGAGCACGTTTGCTTGGCCTTAAAAATGTTTAGTTCAGGAGATTAAAGAGATTGCTTTCCTTTAAGTGATGAAGGGCAGAGTATAGACCAGCGATGTCTTTGCCCCACATTTCATAACAAGGAAATAATACCGCCTCTCTCAAAAAGATGTAATTACCTTGTGCTTACACCTGTAGACTGCAATGCTGCTGAAGGCCATCTGGGGAAAAAAAATAAAACATGAAATATTTTGTAAAAGAGGCCTCTTCTACCTCTTTCTAGGCAAAGATAGAACAAACAGTTCTACTGTATATAGCAGTGGTTCTCAACATTTTCAGACTCAAGGCACCCCTCGGAAAATGTTAGCTCTTCGTTTTCACTCTGGTTTTTTTTTTTGTCTACAGAAAAATAGATGCCCTGGTTGAGAATCACTAGTATAGATAGTAAAACATTTCACTTTTGGCCAGTGCCTCATTCTTGCCTTAGAAAGCTGAATCTAAAAAAATAGCTAAATTAGACTTGCTGTTCTTTTAAAAAGAATGTTAATCCCCAGACTTGGTAAGTATTTTAAAGCAGAAGATGTGAATGTTTGCAGATATTTTTGTGTTCATCCCAAAGAAACATCAAGTCTTACTTCATGACACAAGGACCCTGACTCTATCTCTTTAATAACACAATGAAGACAATATTTTGTTTAATGTATTCTCCCTCTAGCTGCTGTGGAGGATTAGAGAAATGAAAGGTGGATTTTGTCGTGATGCAAGAGTAAGTTATGAAGCTAAAGTTCTGTATGGCATAACAAGTGTTGCAGATTCTTGAAAATGAGGGGTGGTGTGTGAATTTTTACCAAAAAAAAATTGAACTTTTCAGGAGGAGAATTACAAATTCCCACGAGTCTCTGCAACACTCTACCAGAAGGCACTGCGTGCAAAAGCGTGTACCCTTTCTGAATGCTGTGGTGATCCAAATGGAATCCCTGCATTCTATGCAAGGGATATTTCTGCTCCCCTTTTGATGTATTTATTTGCTTTGCCAGATCCTGTTCTCTTCTCGGAGTCCTATTGTGAATGGTTTGGTTGTTTATTATGACAAGGAAGAAAGGCATCTCAGGAGAAACACAAGATGGGCAAATTAGTTCAGATAAAATAAGAACTGGCTTGAAACAAACCTAATGCAAGCTTGCATTAGGTTTTGAAATGTGCAGCTAGCATTTTTTTCCTCTCTATTTTTGGTTTTCTGAAATTTCTGTACCTCTTCATATTTCTCGCAGGAATGGAAGGGGAGGAGTAACACAGCAGTGGTTGTCCTTGTGACTGCAAGTTCTAGCGATGCTTTGTTTTGAAAGATTATTTGGAAAAGAGTGAGGATGACATCATTGGTAAATAGTTTTTAATTACTTGTTGGTTGATTAAAATAGTTTTTAATTACTTGCTGGTTGATTATTATAATGCCCCAATATAATCTTATACTGTAACTTCTTACTGGTGTAAGATTCAGGATGAAATTCTAAAGAAAGGGATACCTGAAAGTAGGCTTCAAAATTCATTGACTTAGGTGGGAGTGGGTGGGTGCGTAATGAAAATTAAGCCACCTACTTATGTATGGGCTTAGACTGTCTTTTGGCTCCCATTCTTTTAAATGTTTGACTCCACAGTATTATGGCAATGACAGTGTCTGAAACATTTTATAAAATAATAACGAGACCGTGATAAGAAATCTGTCATGATGATAGCTGAGGCAAAATCCTACATTAACTTCTAATAAACCAGTTGTAAGGGAATAGAAGAACTGACTAAATCAGGGGTGGGCAAAATACCATCCCCAGTTTGAATCCAGCCTGCTGAGGGATTTTGTCCAGCCTGCCCGGCCCAGCTGAAAGGGGCAGCCCAGGACATGGTGTGTGTGTGTGGGTGGGTGGGTACAGAGCAGGGCTGGGACAGCCTGGCACCCAGACTCGATTTCCCAGCAGCCCAAGCAACAATGGCAGCAGCAGTGATTCCTTCTGGCTGCCGCCACCCAACCTAGCCCCACTGCCCAGGCAACTCAGCCCATCTGCACTGCAGCCATTGCTGGGGGTGGGACCCATGTGGGGAGGGTCCTTGGCCAGGTGGCTAGGATGGGGCCGAGGGCTGGCATGGAGCAGTGTCCAAGAGTGAGACAGACGGGCAGGGCTGGGGAGACCCCAAGATCTTGGGGCAACATCAGTATGGGTCCAGGGCCAAGGCAGAGCCATGGTCCATTACCCACATGCCTTTGTGACAGACAGGCATTCGTTCTGTAGGCAGGGGCATGCAGGGAGCAGATCACAGCTCTGCCCTGTCCCTAGCCCCACGCTGTCACTACCTCATGATCCCAGCCTCAGTCCCGGACCTGGACGCAGCTCCCTACCCGTCTACAGGCCCATTGCATCCACCCCCTATACAGCGTCCTGCCTGCACAGCTCCTGACTGGTCTCCATGGAGACCCCGGGATTGCCAGGTGGTGACAGTGGCCCATGAAGACCAGTTAGGACCCATGGAGGCCAGGCAGACTTGCTGGGCCCACAGCCAGGTAGGAAGCTGCATCTGGGGCTGAGTCCAGGATCTTGGGGTGGTGATAGCATTGGATTGGGACCCAGGGCAGAGCCACAATCTGCTCCCTGCATGCTCCTGCCCACTGAACTGGTAACTGGCAAGCGGGCACCAGGTTGTGGCTTTGTTCTGGCCCCAGCCCCATGTTGTTACCACCCTGTCCTGACCTCACCCATCCATCCCACTCCCAAACACCGCTCCCTGCTCACCTATGGTCCTATCCCACAAAGGGAGTTTTGGTGAGTTGTTGCACAAGGGGTGGGAGACAAGGGGTGCTGACCTAACCCATGACAGCTCAGCAAAACTCACTATGTGGCCTGTGGGCCCAGAATAATATGGGATCTGAAATGTAATTCATCCTTTGTGTGAACAATCAGCATCATCAAAATTATGATGCTGTATTTGACATTGACTTGAATGAAACCAGGACTTTATTCTGTAGAGTTCTATCTATAGGGAACCTAAATGCAATCCTATTCAACTTTGTTCAAGTCCCTGAAGATCCATTAATGCATCTACATTTGTAACAGACCATCATCTTAGTCTTAAGACTCAGTCAGAAGAATGTAGTGAGGAGGAAGACAACAAGCCTACTCTCTTTATTAACATTGTCAAGGACCCAAGCAGGATGGAGTAAGATCACACTTAGGCATCTAATAGATGGAAGAGGATCTGGCCATTGGTGTTTTTTCTGGGGTTTGGGAGGATTTTTTTTTTTCTTCTTCTTCTTCAAACTTATTTTGCAAAAGACTATTCAACCCAGCATTACCTGGAATCTATTACACTTGGGACATCTGGTGGATTTCTGTCCCTTTTATGCCACCAGAATGTTGTAAAAGCCCTGGGATTCAGCCCAGATTCAAGGTCTCAATACACTTTTGTGTAAACATGGAGCTTGGAATTAAATGTGGAATGATTTTGTTCTGGAAATCCATAGACTGATAAAAATAAATGTAATCCGTTTCCTGCTAGATTCATTGCACACATCTATAATGTTGTTTTAAGTGACCATTCAAAGGAAATCAATGGAACATTAAGACATGTAACTGCTGAACATATCTGGCACATTTAGCAGTAGCAAAATAGTTAAAGTAAATTTACTGACAGTGTCAATAAATTCTCCCTCATTGTCCTCTGAAATAGACTGAGTGTAATGGTAAACAGCAAAGCCCATCTCTTCTTTCCTCCATTTAAGAAGTGGGAGGGTTTTTACAGTCTGGTGATATATGCAACTCTGTGGAGACTATTTTATTAATTTTTTGTTTAATATTTTGCCATTTGAAGTATTGTGGATTGTGAGAAACTGGGGGAGTCAATTTATTTAATTTTTCATAACTGTGTTTCATATAACCTGGAATGGACATGCTTTCTTTACAGCTAGAATAAATAGAAGGAGAGTATATTTTTGCACTTTGTTCCTGAAATAAATTTTAATCCTGGTAGTGGCATAAAAGTAACCGTGCCTAATGAAAGATTCAATATTAACTGGGAGATAATAATGTTGCTTTTCATATCATAGGGGCCTCTATGTTTAAATCAAGTTGAGGTTGTATTTTTTTTAGTCAATATGCATTCAAATTGTAACGTTTTTCCTTTTCCTTAGAACAGCAGTTTCATCCATTTCATAAAACAATAAGTAATATCTGTTCACAAATATAAAACACTTACAAAAACAGATGAGTTGTGAGAAGTCAGGTTTGTGTTCTAAATGTGGCCTATCAGGAACCATTTTATATAAATGGGCATTTTAATAACATGTAGAGGTGTAATACATATCTTCTGAAAGGTTCTTGAAGCACTATGCTAACTAAGCATACAATGATATATCTACTACCACCAGAATGGAACTTGTCGGCTATTTAACTAAAGATTCTCACAGGACCACAGTATAGACAGAATGCTTTGTAATGGAGCTGCAGTGAGAATTAAAGTAGTGCAACAGAAGAGAGTAGGAATTTGTCAAGGATTTGAGGTGAACACCTTCAAAGTAACATCAGATGCTAAGTGGCCAAGATCTTGGTTTTACATTATCTAAAGAATGACACCTCCACCGATTCTTGACAGCACTGCAAAGCACCCGGCTCAGTACTGACTCACTGGGAAGTGTTCCAAGAGATCAAGGCCAAGAACTAATTTCTAATTTAGGCTTAACTGTATTTTATTAAGGAACTTTTTACAGAATTGTTTTCAGTCCATTTAGCTCTTCACATGTGATTTTCTTCTTCTTTTACCTTGTTGACTATTATGTCTGCACTAGATTCTCCAGGTGATACATAATCTATGTCATTGTGTAACAAGGTTATTCCCTTGCATCGGATGGTGCTTAATGACATTGCCAAGATTCACAATGGGGATTCTCCACGCCTTTAGAAAACCTGAGCAAAGGAATGAGTTGTTGATAGCCTTCAAAGACTTGCCAGTTCCTCCTTCAGAAAAAAAAAGTCAATCAGTAAAATTCAAAAGAATATTTGGCACTTTTGCAAACAAACCATTTTGTCTCATATCTTGAGCAGTGCCCCTCAGTCACTCCCAAACCATTGTCATAATCTGCTTTGATTGTCCAGTGACCCATACTTGGCTTATGTTTGCGCTGTCCATGTTTAATGTTTGGTTTTCATCTATCATGATTTTATCCCTCCCCTAAATGATAAACTCTGCATTCTGCCAATAGAAAAAGCTATAAAAATTAACCAAGCTAACTTTTATTACCTTGTTTTCTTCAACTACAAACATGGTGAGACCAGATGCACCCCTGACCTGATCCTATTCACCATTGCCTCATGTCATGTGGCATGACAGAAAAATGCCAATAGATAGGTATTGCTGATGTGGAAATGCCCTTTGAAAAATAAGAGAAGCAAAATGGTTCTGAGTGTGGATGGCCCAGAGGCATTCTAACCGGGCAAGACTTCTGAAGTCTGCAGAAGGCAAGATAAATTGCCCATGTGCTTCTCAGAGCCCAATCTGTTATACCTCCCTACACACATGGTATAGGACTTGATACAGCATTCTGGACCTGGGCAAATAACAAATGTACACAGTATAAACAAGGAGTGGGCAGATGGCTTAAATCTTTACACTGGTATAACTTTGCCTAATGTGGTGTAAAATAACCCTGGGAAGAATCACTTGTAAAATTACATGTCTGTGGGTGTGTCTACATAAGACACTTAACTGCACAGTAGTGTAGTTTACTGTGCAGTAATCATGTGCATCTACATGTGCACATGCTTACTATGCAGTAAACCTCACTAATCATGAGTAAATTTGCTACCTGCAAACGCAAGTAGCAAGTTTACTTTCTATTAGTAATGGCACAGTTCCATTCATGTAGATGCCTGATTGGGAGCAAAACTGCTCCCAGTCAGCTGTCCACCAGGGGGCCAGAAGATTGCTCCTTGGCCCCAGGAGCTGCCTGCTGCCAGGGCAGGCTCTGCCGCCAGAGCCTGGGTGGGGACTGTGTCCCCCTGCCCCAGCAGCTGTGAGCTCCAAGCCCCCTGCTTTGAGATCACAGTCAGGGAGTGGGTTTTGGGAGATCCTTATCTCCCAGTACCAGTCCCATGCTCACAGAGCTGGTGCTGGGAGACTGCAAGTAAACTGATCCCAGATCAAGTGCATGAGTGGACATGACCTATAAATCACATTAGTATAGGTGTTGCATGTATGCAGCTTGTTCTTGGGTAGTGTTTGCTCAATGTACATGGGCTGCTACTGGCTCTTTGACACCTAATGATGAAGCACAGTAATAGCAGCAAAGAGTCTGCCACCCTGGGAATAAGGTGTCCTTCTTTTCAAACCCTATA